GATTACTGGTAAACGTGCGTAATTCGATTAACGTGTATAATCTGATTCATTTCTGCTCACAAATCACTATGCTTGTTAGAAATGATACGCAATTCGTTGCAGTAATTCCAGTAAATCCCTACTATTGACTTTTCAAAAACCATTTCAACTCAACAAATTCTTCGTAAACAACTCGACTTCAGACAATCTCCACTTCTTATCGCATCGCTCAGCTGGTTGCATTCGCATGCATTAAACACATGTGTCTAAGTACACTCTGCTGCACATCAATATTTGCACTCTTATTCGTTTAAAATTCAGTCAATAACACATCGATTGCTGCCTACTCAATAACACGTGCACCATCTATCTTTATCGCCATTCCCCTCTAAAAAATTCCAACGCTCTTCACCTCCTCTCACATTTCCACATCTCATTGCTTTCTCTACATTCCTTCACCAAAAAACAATCTTTCCAAGCACACATGTTTTATCTCATTCGAAACGTACGAATGACGCTGCTTAACTGGCTCAACAACGTCAAGAACGAATGAGCCATCCATCACCTTTGTCATGAAGAAAAATTTAACATCATTTTTCTCTAGCTAATTAAAGAATATCACCTTGAACACGCACATTTCCCAAACAACAATATGTTTCCATATGTTTTTGCACTGATCTGTTTGACTTCAAGATGGCAATAAATAATTAGTCATATTAATTAATAAGATGAGCATTGGGCCAGATGAAGATTAATCGTTATGATTCGAACAGATCACACCGATAGTTTGCATAATAAACATGAGATATTGAGTGAAAAAGTGAACAGAAGAAAGACATTATCAAAACAAGAATTAAGGATTTGTGGGATTAGAAATGTATTAATTGGAAAAATCCAGCAAATCGAAATCTCACCAGCAGCCTGGCTGATCGCACTGGCTAATTTTGGGTCCAATCCGAACTCTTTGTTCACTTCAGCTGCGGCCTTCTTGAGAATACCGAATGCATGAATGACGGGCAATGGCATACGTTCTTCAGGGCCTCCAATTTTGAAGTTCATCTTGGATCTGCAACAAGATTACGGTGTTTGAGTGGAAGTTTGAATCAAAAAGAAACTGCTGATGATATAGAAACAAAGGTCCCAGATTCATAAACATTCTGATATGGACCATGAAGACTGAGAAAAGTAACGGATAAAATTCATTTCTTTTTGCAGTGCTATTTAAATATTGTAATTACCTCGCCATCAGCACCGAATAACATCAGAAGGATAACAAGATCAGATTCCAGTGTATATTGCATATAAAGCCTTAGAAATCCGATGGACAACAAACAACTAGTATTAGCCAGGAAGCAAGAGAAATTCCAGTGAAGAGATAAAGATATCAGGTCAACGAACGGACTAACCGTGCTGTTTGTGCGCCATAGTATCGGTCTGCGGGTACCTCGAGTTCACCGAAAGTGTCTCGTTCCTTACGGATTTTCGCAGATGCCATCCGCAGTGAATTCTGCAGCAAAGCAGCCGCATTTCCACGAACCACACAAACTCTCGACAACATTTTACGACGGCTCTCAGCAACAATAAATGCCTCTTTACAAATTCTATTCAGCGCTCAACTTGCCTACGTGAGCTTCCAGCTGTTTTTCTATGCAAAAGTTAGCGAGCGATAAGCCACACCCCATTCTGCTAAGCAAAATTCGTACTCTTCGTTGTAGAAGTGCTCGGTGCATTTTGAATGGTGAAGAAATGCGCGAAAAATTACCATTTGAATACATCTCTCCAAGTTTACCCACGTCAACATTTAGAAGTGAACAGTTTTGATCACCTTATGCAGTGTACGGATGGATGTTTGATTGATGCGCATTAGTTGTATTGATTAAACGTTTCGCGAGGTACATTGTTCATTTACTTTGCTTATTTTTAGTTTTTTTTTTTCAAACAGTAACATTTTAACTGTTGCCTTTGATAATTAACTACAGTTTTACTAACGAGGAAACCTTACGAAGTTACCCGCGCCTTTCGGAATGAGGCTGGAATGAAATTTAGAAACCCACTTCAATACACTGAAAACCTATTTCGCGCCATAACTCGTGTCCCCCTTGTCCACTGCAAAAATTTTTTGCATATCCGTGATCAGCTACATGAGCCCTACAAAATGATATAGGTCTCATTCCGAAAGGCGAGGGTAACTTCGTGAGGTTTCCTAGTAAGATTTAGTTCGAACACCGATTTTTTACTGTGGCTGGTGAGCAATCAAGAATATTAGTGGCTGTTACGAAGTAGATGTATGTGTCATTTTTGTGAACCGTCAAAATCGGAGGAGACTAGTTCGTGTATCTGTTTAGCCAAGCGGCCTCGTAATCTGGCGTGGTGGTGGACGCAACATAGATAATTTAGGTTTTTTGTTGGTGAACTGCTGCTAATTGTTTTATTTTTGAGGAATTTTATGGAGCAATTCCCAAAATGGATACGAAAGGAACTGTTGTTAGCGTATCGTCAAAATGGCCTCAAGTCATTATTCGAATGGCAAATGGAACTACTCTCAAAAAGTGAGCTACGAGAACCTGAATATGCAAATTTACTTTATTCAGCTCCAACAAGTTCTGGTAAAACGTTGATAGCTGAGCTGATAGCGGTGAACACAGTGTTAAGTGCTCACAAAAAAGCACTCTTCATATATCCGTATATATCGGTTGCACGTGAAAAATTCATCTCTTTGCAGGTAAACCTACTACTTACTTATCGTATCATTCGCTTTATATTTACATATCGTTATACCTACTAATCACCTCAATTCATATTGTCTATGCAAAAATAGATTCATTCTTTGATATCACGAAACGGTGCTCTAATGATCTTCTTGTTAATATTTTGTTCTCTCATCCATCTACTTTGATTAGGATTCTTAGCGCGTTGTCGTCGAAGTTTCCCATAAAAAATCAAAAATGTTTTAGCTGCTACCTGGTAAGCTTATGTGAATAGTATTGGGGGTGAGATAGTCTATTAGAATTTGGAACATTCCTGTATGCAAGCGGCCTTAAAAGTTTCACTGCTGGTCGTGAGTATCATTATGAAGCTCAAATGTTTTAACCTTCTGAGGTCTTGAATGCCAGCACATCGCGCCTAGTATTATACGAATTATTCAAATTATTATACGGAACCACCTAATATTCATATGTCATTTAAATTATTCTACTTCTATCGCTACTCGAAGTCAGATGAAATTTCCTCTCATCGTTAGTTACTGAATTGAAGAGAGAAAAGTTATGCTCAATGAATCTAAGTATGGCTTTTAAGGTCATTATCGTCATCGTCAGTTTGGATAAATGATGAGCGATAAAAAGAAACTCGGAATTGATATCAAAAAGCTGAGATCAAATCGGTATCGGCAACTGAAAAACAAATCAGAAAGGATGACTGAATCTATGTGATTTTGTTTGGGTTTTATATACCCAACAGTAATCCAGTTCTTGATATGGGGTCGGCGATTAATCAACATTGCTGATTTACGGTGTGAGACTCTAAGAGGGAAAACCGTTGTAAAATTCACTTTCGGAACATCGAATCATTGCTGAGAATTTGTTCGTGAGGGTGGATCGTCTGTTCAGGGGAATGGGTTGATCTTTGATTGATTTGTTTATTACCCGCCCTGATTGACAGATACAAATAAAGCAACCTATAAATAAGTGACTGATTGTTATGCAAGCAAATTAGACATCAACCGATCGAGCTGTTATCGGTCTAGTTGCTTTCAGCGATGACCATACTATGGGCATTACTGGATGCTAGAGGCGATATCCGCAGAGAACAGATAAGAAGTTTTCTTTCTGGCTACAGGCTGAATGCTTGCTAAATAAAATGCTGCGTACTTGCAAAAATGCTACAGGCTGAATGCTTAAGAGTAACATATATCGAAGAGGAATATGTTATTAAATAAGTTAAAACAATTTTTCCTGTAATGAAGTTAAGACTACAGTTCTACAATAGGTGAAACCACAGTGAAATGTCAAATAAAGTGAAAGACAAATGTTTAATTTCATTTAGCGCATACATAACTGACATTCTCAACTGAACTGTAACATCTGGTCTAGCTAAACGAATTGATGGATGGATTCTTCAAGTTGATGTTGCGCGTTTTGAAAGCATTCAACAATTTATAAGCATCCACATATCCAGCATTCACCTAGCATAACATTGCTATGACACAACTTTGAAATTTTAAACAAATAAAGTCAAATTCTGAATTTGGACGGATAATAATTGAATGAATGAACGGACAATAGAGTATTATGAATGAGTTGGGTTGAATGAACGAACGTTTGTATGAATAAAAGCTAAAGCATTACGAAATCAACTGAATTAAAACTTTAAAAAAAGTCAAATAAACTAAACACATTGTGAA